AGTTCATCACCCCTACGGGAGCCATCCACTGTTATTTTGATTTTATTTAACCAGTATTATATGATAATTGGCAATTATCCCATTTGTTTATGAAATTAAAATTTCATTAACCAAAGGTAAGTATGCAATCTCTTATATAAACATAAAAACTAATATGCGCCTTTGACGCTAGTTTTAAAAAATATGGTTAATGTGACAGACCTAATAGTTATTATGTTCTATTAAAAGTACATTTCTGATAAAAGTGCATATAAACAACAAATTGCATTGATTGTATACTGAATCATTGAAATTTTACTTATTTTAACCATAGAAAAATCTCTGCATGTGCTGTTGATAGAACAAATACTATATGGTATTCAGATATGTAGTTAGTTGCTATCTGCTTCCTCCAAGTTTAGCAAATTTAGCCAAACTGGTACATGTCGTTTATAACAATGTTCCTAATTGTAATATTTTCAAACGTATTGCTATACGTAATTAATGTATTGGGTGCAGTTCTTGTTGGCAGAGTTCTAGTTCTAAGTGAAGTAAACAAATTGTCCACATTTACATAAACTACATGTACTTTTTGAAATGCTTATAACTATGTTCATTTTTAGGGTAATAAGCAGATCTGGCTGAATTCAACATTAGCTTCACGGCGGAAAAGACTTCATCAACATTTTGATGACTTGCAAGAATGCTACTTCAATGTGAGGCAGAGTCAGCTTGTACCAAGTAAGTACAGAAATAAACAAGTTTTTGTATGCATGTTATTACCATATCAGGGGTGGATCATCAAATTTGGAAGAAGGGTGTGATGGTGGCACTGTGCCTATTTATTTTTTCTCTTCCTTTAGTTTTGAGCTGGACAGACACCCCATAATAACGATGTTCCTGTGTATTCTTTTCTGTCAATTATTTTTTATTTAGATTGATTCCTGTACATACCTCCTCCCCCTCTTTTACCTCCTCCTGCCTTGGGTTTGTAATGGTTTCCCAAAAGATTCTTTCCTTTTTTACCAGTATGAATTATTTTTTGGAGAAAAACTGCATTAAAAATCATTATCTTTGCTATCCATGATAAGTAATATGATTATATGATATTATAAATCCTAACTGGAGAAATTTGATCTTTTGTTTCCTTTGTCCTCTTGCATCTTATTACTGTATTATTGGTTTCTAATGGCATTACACCAGTCACTCCCAGATCCATGGCCATTATAGACTACTAATATTTATCATTCTTGTACTCTAGTCCTTATTTGGATTAGCAACATTTGTGTGGGATAATATTTGATGTGTCACTCACTTGGTCTTTAAGATCCCAATCAAATAAAAGTCCACTGCTACTAAATTCCATTTTTTGTGAATCACAGAATTTTTGAAAATTTGTTTCTGGTGAATAGTGATTCACAGTAGTTTTTTCTTGCACATAGATTGATGATTAATTGTTTAATTTCTTTTTTTTCTCCCTCAGGCGACAGTGACAGTGATTTATTATCTCAATTTACAGAAAGTTTAAATAAGTTTACGAGGTTCAGTTCAATGAGGCCATTAGCGACTTTAAATTATGCCAGTGATATTTACAATGGTTCTAGCATAGTATCCAGGTAAGCTTTCACCACGTCTTGTACTTTAAAGCGCGGTGGTCGTCGTGCAGCACGTGTTTGAATTTCATGTTAATAAACAATGTGTTTTACACGCGTTGTATATGTCGCAATGAGTCCCATATCGAACAGGACGCGGCGCATCGACCACCGATCCTTTAATATTGCTAGTGTTTGCCTGATTGCAAGATGTCATATACTCATCGTATAATAATATATAATATATTTATCATATGTCAACAACTGCTATACTTTAAAACCAAATGTAGCATACATTTGTTTGGTGTCATCAAACTTTCAAGTTAGCAATCAGCATTGCCTTTTGTGTTCTGAGGGTACTGTAAAACATATCTTTTTCGTGAGCATGTCTTTTTAGCAAGCATGTCTTTTTAGCAAATTTAGCGAGAGAACTTATTCGCTAATTCAAGATGTCACTAATTACTTTATTATAAATTCAAAATGGCCAAGGCTTGGAGATTTGTATACAGTAATCCGGAATATAAAAGTCTGGGGCGCTTCCTAATTACACTTGACAGTTTTTCTTTGTTTTTATGGAGGTTATAACTGTGCATTTGTTTTGTGAAAACAGGAAATCAACAATGACAAGTGAGATTCGCTAAATCAACATTTTGCTATTACGTCATTTTACCACAATTTGCTAAAATTGCATGTCGCTTTTTCAACATGTTTTACAGTAATCATTACTGAAAAAACAAGTGATTGTCATCTATAATTTCAACATTTTTTTTGTAGTATTTACCAATGTTACCGATAGATGATGTATGTAGGCAGTTTACTCTGCATAATTTAGTTATGTGGCAGTTTTGGAAGCAAGCCAACTTGAAGCTAGCTTTAATGTAAAGTTAGGCTTAGACGGGACTGTAGCTGGTCGGAATTTCTTAATAAAATAGGTTCAGAAAATGTATTTTTGGTGATGAAATTAACATGATCATCACTCAATCCTGCTACAGTTACTTCCATTGCCTAGTGTCATTGCAGTTAACTACTACTTTACATGGTCAAGCAGTATGTCACAAGTGTTTTTATATCAATTTGTTTTCTCTTAAATCCACTGATATAATTTGTTCTTTATTTGATAGCATTGAATTTGACAGAGACTGTGAGTTCTTTGGCATAGCTGGTGTCACAAAGAAAATTAAAGTATTTGAATATGGTACAGTTATTCAAGATGCAGTCGATATACATTATCCAGTCAATGAGATGATCTGTAATTCAAAAATTAGGTAATGATACCAAAACACACATACCACAAATCACTGTCTTCCGTATTTTAATGTCTCTGAGCAAAACATTATTTAACTTGAATTATGTGCCTCCCATCTATTCATTGTCCGTCTGTGTGACTGTGCACACCTATTCTCATTTCAACCAGCATACTGTAAAATTATTAATTATTCACTGAGTTTTAATTTTGCTTTTTTGCTCATTTGCTAAATTTAAATTCACATGAACCCATTGTTTTTGTGAACTTCAACCCCAGTGAATTTGATCAAATATTAAAATACTGAAATTAAATGGTTTTGCAGTGATACATGTGCATAAATTAGACACTTTTGGCAAAACTTTTTACACATTGTTCAAGTTCACGCTTACATCAATTTCTTCCAGAGTGTGTTGATGCAAAATTGGACGACTAAATGCATTAGCATGAAAAAAGACTGTCTTCTATTTATGTCACTTTATCTTGCCAGAGGTTGTAGATGATAAAAAACATAACCTGAAAAATTCAAACCCTGTAATAAGTCGTTTCTAACATGAACTACTTCTTCTGTGGGATACCTAACGCGCGAGGCAGCGGCAGCGGCAGCGGCAGCGGCAGCGGCAGCGGCAGCGGCAGCGGCAGCGGCAGC